ATGAGGGGCAGCTGTGGGGCACACTGACCCACCCCCAACATTCAGGGTCTGCAGCAAATGACAACAATGGTGTCCAAGTATTGTCATGCTTGTTACACTGATCCCCTTCGATACGCAAGCAGCACAAAATACAATGGCTATTGCACAGTGCCCTGAACCGCCTCCTCTTCCTGAGAACTTTCTGTAACCCCTGCAATGCCATTACAGTGCTTTGTCCCCCTGCACAGGCTAGAGCACGAGACTGCTTCTGCCTGTGAGTTAGCTCAGGTGCACTGTTAGCTCAAGCAGCTGAGATTCATGCACAGATGACTTGATTTGGGAATGTTCTTCCACAGGCCCAGCCTCTAGATAAATACCGGCCCACAGACTGGATCTGGTCTGCCAGGGTTAGTTCCTGGTGGGCCCCCATATGGCTGTATGTACCCGTGCCTCCGCAGGTACAGGAGATCACAGCTTCCACTTGTTCCTGGCCAGTGGGAGCTGCAATCGCCCGTACTTGCTGAGACGCAGGTAAATACAGCAGCAGTGGCCTGCCAGGCACTTTCCCTGGTGAACCATAGCTGTTTTATTGCCTGCCCCCGCACTGTGGGTTACCTTCTCAGGCTGGGCTGGGAAGCTCATGCTAAGAGTCAGGGGACCCCAGCACTTCAAAGTTCCCCTATGGTTCTGGGGAGACTGACCTCAAGCTCCTTGTGGCTTTAAAAAAAAAATCCCAGAGGGGTAGCTGTGTTAGTCTGTAACTAAAAAAGCTTAATAAACAAAGAGTGGTCCTGTAGTGCCCTAGGGTATGTCTACACTACAACGTTAATTCGAACTAACTTAAAAAAAAAATCCCAGAGGGGTAGCTGTGTTAGTCTGTAACTAAAAAAGCTTAATAAACAAAGAGTGGTCCTGTAGTGCCCTAGGGTATGTCTACACTACAACGTTAATTCGAACTAACGGATCCAGATTAAAAAACTAGTTCAAATTAGCATTTTGCTAATTCCAACTAGCATGTCCACATTAAGTGGACCCTGAACCAGGCTTAAGGATGGCCGGAAGCAGTGCCAGCAGGGCATCAGAGGAGGACTTAGAGCATGGAGATGCTGTCTCAGGCTAACCGAGGGCTGTGCTTAAAGGGTCCCGACTCCCAAATTGGGGGGCTGCAGGAGAGCTTCCACCCCCAGAAGCCTGCAGAGCCAGCCCAGTCCTCCCCATCGGGGGCTCGTGCCCCATTCCTCCCTCACCTCCTTCCACTTACCCCTCCCTAGCCCCTCTTCTTGATGTACAAAATAAAGATAACGTGTCTTCCAAAATGGAATCTGTCTTTATTGAACAAAACTGAGGGAGACTGGGAAAAGGAGGTGGGAGAGGGGAAGAGAGAGGCTGGGAGAGGGGAGGGCAACTAAAATGATCAGGGGTTGGGAACAGGTCCCATATGAAGAGAGGCTAAAGATGGAGAAAATTCTCCCATGCACCTAAAAGCCACCTTTGTGAGTGATGTAAGCTATGTCCACAGGAGAAGATCCCCTGCCAATAAAGCACTGTGCACACAAACCCTTATGTTTGGAGGGGTGGAATATATGTTGTTGCTTGGAGGGGTGGAATATTCACATCCCTGAGTAACATACACTTTGCCAAAATATATTATAGTGTAGACATAGCCTTAATCTCTAAAGTCCAGCTGGGGATGTGAGGAGAGAAGTTATAACTTTTTTTTTTTAGAAATTCCAACATTTATTGATTTTCCCCCCAAAATTCTTAAATTAGAAATATTTCCATGAGTTCTATTCTAAAAGTCCAAAGTCCTCTGCAGGATCTACTGTAACAATTATCAACAGAAGTATAAAGGAATGACTTGTTCAACCAATGTCAATGGAATATAGACTTTGTTTCCCCTAGAACATTCTAGAGGTTTGAATTTCTTGAGGCTCCTATCTTTCCTTATTCCATACGTTAGGCAAAACAGTTTCACATTAATTTTAAAATTTTGGGAGCAATATTTTTTGGGGAGTGAAGGGATGCATCTGAGGAATTCTTTGAGCAAGTATCATCAACTTTCTCTCACAAACTCTATCCTGGGTCCTGACTCCACCAATTGTCAGGCTGCTATGTCTTTGGCATTTCTTTTTATTTTATTTTAGAGAATACAAAGTTAAACTCTAAATAAACTTCACTGTTCTGTGCTGTTAATTAGCTCTAATTGTCCTCTAACAATAGAGTAAGCAGTGGAAGTGTTTATAATGCTCCTAGACAATATTGACCTTCTATGGCCCAGAAAATCTTCTTTGGAAATGGCGAGGTCCCCAGGAACTGGACTAGAGAGGATCAACCTGTATAGATGGATGCAAAAGTGACCTGAAGAAGCCTGTCAATGAGCAGTAAATAAGGGCCTATATCATCCTCATATATAGGTCATCTTAATGTGAAAGTTTAAGTCAACATGGATCCTACTTCCAGAAATCACATGACCAGGCATTTCACATTTCAAAGTTGAAATAATATCTTGAGATATATCTCTTTCAATAGGGCTGTGTCCAGACTCAGGGGTTTTTTCGGGAAAAGTAGCCTTTTCCCGAAAAAACTTCACCTGCGTCCAGACTCAAGCCGCGTTCTTTCGAAATAATTTCGAAAGAACGCGAAAAAGCGGAGGATTTTTCCTTCAAAGTAGGAATAAGAGCCTCCGGAAAAGGGCGCTTTTTCCGGAGGATCGGGGCCAGTGTAGACGCTCTTGTCCGGCTTTTTTAAAAGCCGGAAAAAAGCGGCGGACATTTTTATTTAAATGCCGCGGGGGGTATTTAAATCCCCCGCGCATTTCTCTACTACGACTCATGAAATTTACATGCCCCTTCCGGAAAAGGGGCCAGTGTAGACGAGCCCAGAGAGTATCATGAGCTGTCATGGCAAATCCCACAAGTCTCAACAGTTAGAGTGAAAGAACCAGCTTGGTTAGGCCGAGGGCAGTAGCAAATACATAATCCTATATGCATGGCCCCATATCTGTGTTAACAGGGCTGGCACACGCCGCTGGACAATGTAGCTGGTCCTGAGCATAAGAGAGCCAGAGCGTTGAAAATGCCTGTATGCACCTGGGGAGGTTGGACCTCTGAGGCCAAAAGTGCTAGGGGCCAGTGTTGGAGCTAAGGAAAGCATCCTTCCATGAGGGAACGCGCACACCACTGCCTGTGGCCTCATCCTGGCAGAGCAACTGAGCCCCAATGTTGCGGGTTACAGCTGCACCCCTGGTGCCCTGCAGTGTTGTAATGAGCAGCACACAAAACCCTCTGGCATTGTTTTTACATAGCTGCTAAGTGTCTTCCAGTATATGGGTGCATCTACACTGCCGGGCTTACCTTGAAATAAGCTGCGCAAATTGAGCTGTCAATTGCACATCTTATTTGGAAATCTGGAGCGTCTACACAGCACTTATTCTGAAATTGAGCACTCTTCCTTACTCCTTGTACAATGAGGGTCACAGGAGTCACAGTAAGAAGTCCTCCAGCTTGACAGTATTTAGAAATAATTGCCTGCTGTGTAGATGCAGACTAAGTTATTACGGAATAGCATTACATGCAATCACTAGACCCCCTTGAATTTCATGCACACCTGCTCTTGGGTGGCCAGGCTGGCAGCTCTCCTGCCCTAGACGGCCACTTTCCTGTGCCTAGTGCGGAGATCATGGACGAAGTCCACGATGTCTGCACTAGCCCAGGCGGGTGCCCACCTCTTGCGGTCCCGGGCAAGCTCCCGGGAGCCGCCAGCCTGGTCCCAGG